GAGCATTGCTCTGCATGTGAGCAGGGATGGGTTCCATCCCTCAGTGACATAACCCATGCCACCACCCATTGCTGGAGTACAAAGACCCAAAGCGTTGCTGTTGTTGCTATGGGGGTACAGCACCCACGCTGAGCTCTGCAGCAGTGGCTCAGTTCAGCTCCTCTGTGTCATGACTTTGACCGATGTAGGCCGAGTGCCCACCTTGGGCTGAAGTCACTCCATCCTTTGGAAACTCCCTAACTATTCCCATTTGCTTGAGTGTGTTTGGGGGGGGGGGAAACAATCCCCATTCCTGAAGCTCCTTTTCCCACTCTGGGGCTGGGGTGAGGGTCCTGCCCCCATGCAGGTGATGCTCACTGTGCCCCGCAGTGGCCGTGGCTGCAGCAGAGCAGCTCAGCCACCATCCTCGTCTGCGGTGCGATCGGAAACCTTCCAGCTGTCAGCCGGCGTTATTTATACTTGTATATTTTGTTTGAAATGGGATGCAAGCAAAGCCCATGTGTGCCTCCCATCTCCTTTGTAGCAGAAGAAAGGAAAGAGCGAGGAATATGTTTGCAATCATGTCTGGCCCTTGATTTGCAGCCGTGCTTGGTGTTGATCCGGGGTCTGGATCGTACCTGCCTCTGTAGGGAAGCAGCAGCTGAGCTATTTCTGTATGCACAGAGGTGTCGTGTTCAAGTTAAACCCTTTTACCTTTTATTTAAAATTCACAGAGCCTTGACAGGTAATCTCAGGAGTTGCATCATTATGGCAGCCAACGCTAACCAGGGGCGAATGATGCTTTGCAATTTCCCTGGCTGAAGAACAGGCTTTATTCCGTGTCCTTTCCTTCCACAATCAGTGCCACGACTGCAGGGCAAGAACCTTCCTCTGCCCTCACACAGCTGCTTCCATCCCTGGGCCTTGGCTGCACATCTCAGTGACCACACCTGGAACCCGGGACTTCCATGCAAAATCCTGCTGAGAGTAGTAAATAAGACACATCTGATACCTGAAATCATCATCATCGTCATCATCATCATCATTATCACCGTCCCTGCTGCTGCCTTCCACAACCTCTGGACTGCCCTCCCGGTGCAGGACTGTTGGCTGTTGGCTGCAGTGTGCACTCCTGCACCTGAGTTGCACAGCGTGTGTGCAGGGAGAGCAGGGCTGATCTGGGGCTGCTGGTGGAGCCGGGAGGGCTGCTGATGGTGCTGCACTGCTGCAGACAGCAGGGCTGGGCTGGAGCGCTTTGATGTGCAGCAGCTGCACCGTCTGCTCCTGTTCTCCTTATCAGAAGTGCCACGGGAGCATCTTTTACAGCACTTGGAGATGTCCACAACCTGAGAGCAGAAGGTGGTAGGGGATATATGGGGTGCTGGGCAGAGCCCCGTGCCAGCACCGTGCTCCCCATCTGGGCTCTGCCAGCAGCGCCGTGTGAGCCATTCCTGGGGGAGAGCCCCAGAACCCCACTGCTGTGGGAGATGCTGGAGTGGGAAAGGAGGCTGCCTGGCTCTTTAGCACTCACTGTGAGGCTGGGCACGGTACACCCTTGTGCTTTAGCCTTGCCTTCGTGTTCAGAGGTATAAAAATTCCTCTTAAATCATTCAGTGGTTCTCTAATGTATTCACAATGTGGACTATAGAACAAGATCTGAAACACTCTTTTTCCCAGTAAGACTATTAAATGGTGACACTTTGACACCAGCAAGAAGTATATGAGATTAAAAAGTAAAAACTGCATAGAAAACTAAGTGCCTTCACATACTGCTGGAATAAAAATTGCTGTTCGGAGCATTAAAATAGAGCACTTGTCAGGAGCGACGGCTTCCAAAGATGTGCCTGCTGCTTTCGGTGGCATCAATGCACCCCATTTCCTCTGAGGTAAATTACAGAGCATTTAGAGAAGGGGGAGGGATGCTCAGAGGTGGGCAGTGGGGCACTGCTGGGTGCGAGATGAAGGCAGAGGAGGGCATGTCGGGCTGAGGGGCAGGGCGAGGGGATGGCAGGGTGGGCTCAGGGTGGCACAGAGGGCATAATGGATAGCAGGATGGCACAGGGGGACGGCAGGAGGGGCACATGGGGGTGGCAGGGTGGGCGCGGGGTGTCTGTGCTCTGTGGTGGCCATAGGGATGCATGTGCTCCCCTCCAGCCCTGCTTGCAGCAAAGAAGCCATTGCTGTGGGGGTCTCAGCACGACTGGGGGGGGGTGCAGGGGCTGCTGTGACATTGGAAATGCCCTGGAGGCAGCGGGTGGATGAAAGCAGGAGGTGAAGGAGCAGGCTTTTCTTGGCGCGATTAATCATTTATTAGCTAATCAAGAACACTCACAGGAGATGAGGAGAGAGCAGCTCGCCTCTAATAGGAATTAGTTAGGCGACTTTTTCCCCTACGCTCTGATTTCCCAGGGAAGTGGTGCTGCAGAAGCCTTTTATTAAAGCCCAGGCTGCTGGAATCACGTTGGGTGCAAATCTCCATTTCCTCAGCACAGAGTCAGGTTTCAACCTTTTGCAGCTTGAAAATGCGAGCACCGCTCTCGCAAACTAAATAAAAATAAGACAAAATATATTACATTTTAAAATCTTGTGACATTTTGGAGACTGACTCATGTTTTCCGAATGTTTGGAAGCGGTAACGCTGCAATCAATTTTGCTGCTCCTTGGATGATTGCTTTCAGAGAGGTTTTAATTCTACTATAAATACTTCAGCTGTACACAGCGGCCTCGGTCAGATATGCAATAATACCCGGTTCTGCATTTCAGGTAAGGCTTTAAACTAAATTAAATCTCCTCAGTATAGCTAATCAGAGATTAGCTTTGACCACAGTTTGTTAGCCCAGGCCAATCCCATTCAAATCCTCTGGCAGCCCCAATATCAGCAGTTCTCTGTCCTGCGCTTATGATGTGAACTCCCTTCCCCAGGGCGAGCAGAGGAGCTTTCCTCCTTCTGCTTTTAGCTCTTCTGCTACCGGGAGCAAAGCGTTTGCCTGGTGCCACACGGGTCCCATCCCACCAGCTCCAGCCTTTCCCTGTGCCGTTTCTCTCCAGCCCCAACTGCCAGTGATGACTCGTGGTGGGAGAAGGAAGAGGTGATGGAAACACAGCTTGGCTGTAATGGACCCACAATGAATGACACCACGTCCAGGTGCTTTCGGTCAGCCTTCATCATTGCACTTTGCTCCTTTCTGCTTCACGAAGCACATTTTAAAGCAATGGTGGCCCTGCTGCTGCTTGCAGCACCGGAGCTGGATGTGTGCGCAGATGTACATGCAGCAGCTGGGCTCGTTCTGCTGAGCTGACACCAGATACCATGGGGATGCTTTGCCCCAAGCCCTGCCCTCCTGCACCCCACGCCACCTCCCCGTACGACTCATGCCAGCCCCGTCTTCTGGGTAGAATGTTCTCCATTGTTGTTGTTCCTCTGTATTATTTATAGCCCGGTAAGTGTCTGAGATCACAAGCCCTGATATTGAGCTTACTTAGCTACCCAGCAGTACTCTGGTTTGAAACAATATAGTTTGACTGTTGCTATCGATTTTAGAGGGTTGTGTGATGGGTAAGAGTTCCTCGGAGCCAACCGGTATATTAAGCAATCATTTCTATAGCAGATGACATAACACCCCCGGCATCGGTTTGCCCTAATGGGCCTGGTATTACTCATGTGCTAATTGATTGGGCATGGAGAGAGGAAAAGCTAAATTCACTTGCGAGGTGATTTTTATGGCCAGGCTCATAACAGAGGTAATTTGCTGAAAACGTTCAGTCCCTCTCCGGTTCTGCAGCGCAATCTGTGCTCCCGCACTCCACCTCTGTGCTGAGCTCCAATCAGCGAGCTGGGCTCCGCTCGGGGCATCCGAGGTAAAGCCCCCGAGGAGCCGGCGTGGTGGAGCCTTTCTCTCTGCTTTGCATTGTGTTGGGGAATGCCGAGCAGCTCGGAGAGGCTCTGTGCATGGGAGCTGGAGCATGACGCTGGTTACAGCCTCGGCTTGGTGTCTCATCCCTCGGAACCGCAGCTCTGCCCCGTGTCTCTGCCCAGCGCTGAGCTGGGATGGGGACAAGCAGCCCCGCAGCACGGCCCCAGGCCTGTCCCCACCCCACCCTGCCCAGCTCATTGGCAGCACCGCTGTGCCAAATGCTTCTGGGTATTCAGAGGAATTTCCTAACAGATGAGGGCTTCTGCCTTTGAAGTCTTCAGCTGCCTGTCTGCAAAATCAAGCCTGGAGGTTAGAGCAGCTCAGAATATCACTAGATCTTGGAAAAAATGCTGGAGACTGGTCCTTGTTATCTCACTGAAGACTGATGGATTCCTAAAGCCGACAAGGTGAGCTCTTGTATGCATATCAGCACGTAACATCGAGCTAACCTGATAGGCCTGGGTTTTTTTCTGGAGCTGGAAGAAAGCCAGACAGCCCTGAGAACAGCACAGACACAACTCCCCCAGAGGCCCTTCTGGGCAGCTGCATCGCTCAGCCAGATCTCACGTGCCACAATACTTTGGGCAGTGCTTTGGTTGTGCCCAGGGAGGTGGTGGAGTCACCGAGCCTGGAGGAGTTCATGGAAAGTTTGGATTTCGTGTTGAGGGACATGGCTTTGTGAGTACTACTGGTGATAGGTGGATGGTTGGACTGGATCATCTTGAAGGTCTTTGCCAACCTTGGTGATTCTGTGATTCTGTGACTGAGGTGGGAGAAAAATGCTGAGGTGGCCGCATCCATCAGCCCTTGTGTTTTTGACTCCTGCTGCCACGGGGCTCCATGCAAAGCAAAAATGCTGCTGTCATTGCCCTCCACCACCACAGGCACGGTGTGCATCACACTGACCCGTCACCTTTCTCTGGTTGCTCAGAGATGTGGTGGGTGCCCCATCCCTGCAGACACCCGAGGTCAGGCTGGATGGGCTCCCAGCACCTGGTGGAGCTGCGGGTGCCCCATTTCATCACAGGGGAGTGGGAGCGGGCGCCCTTTAAAGGTCCCTCCCACCTGTGATGCTATGAACGGGATTTCCGGCACAGGATCACACACTTCGTGCCGTCGACGGCGCTCTCCTCCCACAGTGCTGCGGGATCGGGCGGTGCAGCGGCTGCCGCGGCCACACGGTGGTAGGAGGAGCCCCGGCAGCGCTGCGAGGCCCGCTAAGCTCCATTCCCCCCTGCCCGCCGCCCCGGCCGCAGCTCTGAAGAACGGAGAGCCCAAAACTCTTGTACGAAGGGCTGAGGAATCGGCCGGCACCAGTGCGGGGTGCCGAATTGCCACAGCTCAGGAGTTGTGTTCGCTGAACTATAAGGGTTCTGGATTCGCTGTTCTGCAGGTGAGGAATTTCACGGCGTGTTTGGTGGGGGGTGTTCCCTTCTTGCACTGATTTATAATGCACGGCAGCTGAGGCTGTGCTGCAGCCTGTATGAGGAGCGTGCTCACAGCTGGGCTGTGTGGTGTTCCTGGCTCCTCCAGGAGTGTGCCACCCAAGGGAGTTCCTCTCAAAAAGCTGATGAAAAAGGAAACCCTCGGTCTGGTAAGCTTATTTCTCTTCCGAGCAGTGGGGCGTTGGTGAGTCACTGTGCTCTGCAGCCCATCCAGTTCCTCCTGAGGCTCTGTGTGCCCTCCTGGGCAGAACCAAGCACCCACACCTGGCTTTTCCCTCTGTGTGTCCCAGGGGCTCTAGGCAGGGCTCACTGCTGTGCTGCTGCAATGCCTCGGTGTTCCTGGTGCTGCAGAATGGCTGTATTGCAATCATTGCTGGCCTGGTATTGCTGGGAATGCTGGAAAGCCGTCTCCTGCACCTTGTTTTGTGGTCTGGGCTGCTGTCTCCTTGCTGTTGTGTCACCCTGGTGTCCTCTGGCAGCAACGGGGAAGGGTTCTGGGAGATGGGGACGTTTCACTCAGCCACTGGTGTATGGACTCGGAGTGGTGGGGCTGGCTGAGCACATCCCTACCCATGGAGGATGCTTTGGTGAATGCTATAGGGAGGGTTGCAGTGCTGGAATGGTGCAGGAAAGTGTGGGGTCCCAGTTCCCCTCTGGGGTCTGCACCTCCTGACCGACGACTGCCCCTCTGTTCCATTCAGTCTTTTCTTTTGTGGCGAATATTTTCTCATTTTCCTGCTGGAGGTGGTGCTCAATGCCCCTCCAAGCTCTGAGCACTGCTGGCAGAGGCTCCTGCTGTGAGAGCAGCACTTTGCTGCTGATGGCTTCAATTAATGGTTTTAAAAAACAATGCTGGGTTTATGAGCTCTTTTATTATTTAAATGTGTTATTTCAGTGAAGGTGGATTCAAAGAGCAGCTTTTGCTGCCGCAGGCTGTATCTCCCAAACGCAGAGGAGGTGATGCACAGGGATGCTGAGTGACTCCTGCTCACAGCCATTATCTGTGTTTGAACAGAGGGAAAACTAACACCGGGCAGGAGAAGCGCCGTCCTGCAGCGCATCGCAGCTGGGTGCCGCGTGTGCAGTGGAGCACGGTTTTGGTTGGAGCTGCTTGGAGCCAAGGGCGAGTTTCCCTTAGCAAAAAGGGGGCCTTAGCAAAGCTCTGCTGTGCCACGCTGGAGCAGCAGCCGGCCTGCTGCAATGAGAGATGGGGCCACGGTGAGCTGGGTCGGATGGCCACAGGTGGGTGGCACACAGTGCAGTGCTGCTGAGACTGCTCCTGTGCTGGGAGATGCACACAGGAAGCGGGTTCCCTTTGGAACAAGGAACTCTTTGCAGAGCTGCTGTGCACATGCAGCGTTCCTGACCCAGATTTTTTGCTCTTTTTCACAGCTGAGCGCTCCATCTGCAAGAGATTGTTTCTTGACATGAAAAATTTACTTTTTAATGGGCCAAACTGCTGCACTCTCTAAGCTGGATCCAAAATAACCTCTTAGCACATCGCTCTGAAGGGATCTCCAGCTACCGACCATAAAACTGAAGCACTGCTCCTACTAAAAACCCATTTACAAGCCATTCCCTCCTTGTCCTTTTGTTTTCACACTGTGGTTCTAAAGCTCTGGAAATGGAAAGCGCTCACTTCTGGAAATGGAAAACGATCTTTTGGAACTGAACAACTCACAGCTTTTGTTTCCTCCCAGGATCCAAGGAGGTTCTGGATGCTCCCCAGCCCTGGAGGCATTCAAGGCCAGGCTGGATGTGGCTCTGGGCAGCCTGGTCTAGTGGTTGACAACCCTGCACATAGCAGGGGGTTGAAATGAGATGATTGTTGTGGTCCTTTTCAACCCAGGCCATTCTATGGTTCTACGAAGTGGCACTGGAGCCGGAGGAGAGGCCAGAGAGCTCAGTGCTGCCTGGAGATGCTGGGAAGTGCCTCATCCCTCCCTTAATCTTCATTTTTTTTTGTTTCAGTCTCTTAATTGTGAAATATTCAGCCTTTTGTGTGCATAATGATGGGGCAAAAGATAGTGATAAAATAGTTTAAATTAATAAGATTATTAAGTAACCTCTGCTGCTGGTAATTCCTCACTCGAGCGGGTGCGCGGCGCGCTGTAATTAGTTTTCTGCTTCGCTGGAGCACGCTTCAAGGAGCGGGGAGGATTTTGGGGAGAGAATGCTGTAAAGCTGAGCTTGTGATGGAATAGATTTGTGACAGTTGGGGATGAGAGCGTGCCGTCCCTTGTATGGGATGTGGGCACAGGGCTGTGCCTGCATCCAAGGGCTGGTGGCACAGACAGGGTTCCTGGTGTGGGGTTTGTGCTTCTGACCACAGCCTGCATCCGGGGTCTGCATCTGTTTGGCAGGTTCCTGCCCTGAGGTTCTGTTGGTGGATGAGTGAATGCTGCTGCAATAGGAGCAGAGGAGGTGATGCCCTGGGAGAGGGGAGCCCTCGTTTTGTTAGCCTGGCAAATAATGGGTAACGGGTCGATGCCTTCAGCCTGGGTTGGCAGTGGTAATGGACGGCCTCACAGGTAAATCATCTCATCCGAGCCACAGAATGATGTCCTCCTTCTAGGAAATGGGGAGAATCAGAATCTATTCTTTGTTCTGAAATAGCAGCCGCTATTGTGCAGGCGGGGCTCTGCTTCACACCTCGCATCACTTCCAATGGTTTTCATTCCCACAGAGTTCTGGGTGCCCAGACCCTGGGCTAAGGGCGGCCCGGTGCCCCTGCCCAAGGCTGCGGGCCCTGCAGGCTGAGCTCTGCGCACTGTGCTGCTGCCTGCACGTCACCCTGCTGCTCATTCTGCAGTGTCAGTCGTTTGGCGGCTCGTTTTGGTTAGCTAAAGGCAAACATCTGTGACTCTGATGCAGAAAGCCTCCCTCTTCCCTGTGTCAACAATTTTATTTTTAAACCCGTACGCAAAGTGAGAGGTGCATCCCTTATCTCGTGTGCGGCGGCCGCATATGTAACACCATCATATAATTAACAGTCAAGATCATTTACATTGTCGCTTAGCTAATTTTCATAATGTTTTCTTTATTATCAGAGGAAGAAATTAACCCAAGAATTTATTTACATACTAGTCTCAAACAGTAACAGCTTGCTAATTGCCTGTTAGGTGATTAATAAGCTTACAGCAGATGCTAATGAATCGAGAGCTCACTGCTTCAAAGGTGCTCTTGCAGCATGCTTGTGTTTTGGCAGCTTAATTAGTGCAATAATTATGTACTTGTTGCTCCTTCTTTCAAGCAAATACTGTCAAATGCTTAAAAGATTAAAGAGAATTATATTGCTGAGAACTAGCTGTGCTTAAGTATTCTGCTTTTGCTAACTTCCCCGTTGTTTCAAAAATGGAAACAGATAAATGCAATTACGTCTGAGCCGAGGGTGGGAGGTGTGCGTGTGCAGTGGGTCGCCTGAGGGGTGGAGGGAGCTGCCCCAGCCCAACCTGGGACTGCTTTGGGGTTTTGATCCTGACTGGGGCTGAAGTGCTGAGAGCATCTCCTGTGCCAAACCTATGAAGGCTGCGCGGCCTCTCCTGTCATCAGCTGTCCAAACCACTTCTGGCAGTGGAAAATGTGAGGTTTTCTGTGCGGCGGGGCTGAATCCTGGGTGATTTCATGCTGCCCGTTGCCCTGTGTCGTGCAGGTGCTGTGCAGGGTGCTGCCTCTGAAGGCCATCTGGTCCCACTCTCTGTGATGAGCAGGGACACCCGCAGCTCCATCAGGTGCTCCATCCAGTCTGACCTTGGGTGTACCCATGGATGGGGCATCCACCACCGCACCGCTCAGCTCTCCAGCTGCAGGGAAGGCATCGTGAACCCAGCCTACAGGTGAAGAGGTAGTTAAGCCTCAAGAGGAGATGGAGTGATGTTCCCACTAATCCCTGTTCTCACCCCCAAGAACCCACAGCCAGCTGGGAAGACCCCCAGTGCATGGCTCTCCTCCCAGCCACCCCCTGATGGCTGATGTCCCCCCTCCTTCACATCCGGGTGGCAGCAGCTCTAGCCCATCCCTGGAAGCAGATGCAAAGAAGCAAAATGGTATCCCCACCCCTTGGAGCAGCTTAGAGCAGCTGCAGGAGCGCCACTCGGCTGCTGACATCCCTCCCCAGAGCAGCAGCAGGTCTGTCCAGCCATCCCCAGTTTCCTTGGTGACAGCCAGCATCTCTCCACACACAGCACGCAGTGGGTGCCAAACTGCCCTTTTGCCATCACCACCCGAAAGGCCCCACTGTGTGCTGTGCATCCCAACCCCACTGGCATGGACCCATCACCCGAGCAGCGATCAGGCCGTTTGCTGGGTTGCCTTTTGCAGTCGCTGTTGCCATCTTGTTTAATTCCAGCATTATCTGGTGGTCACACTTTCTCTATATGAGAAAGCAGATTTGTTACTCTACCTGTAATTGCACTTTAATACGAGCTATCTCAAAAATGCATTTTTGGAGCCCCTCTTACAAACACACGAGCTGCTCCTGCCTTCCAAGCGCTGTGCTTGCTGGGGGTGCCTCTCGGTGGGGTTTGGCACCAGCTCTGTTAGTTTCAGTTACTGATGCTTTATCACAACTGACACAGCGTGCAGCTGAAGGGCACTGCCGCTCAGTTCTTGTGAGCTGCCTCCTCCCCAGGAACCCACTGTGAATGCAGTATTTCACCGCTGTGTTGACCGAACCCCAGGATACCCACGGGTCTCCAAGGGGGCTCACGTTGTTTTGGGAAATACAGCACTTATTTTGTTTACAAAACGTGAACAGGAAGAGCTCATCCAGAGGAACGGCAGCACCGCCACTGATATGCCAATGGCTGCTGGCAGATTTGCTTTCCAATCGCCCTGAATTCACAAATTAAATGCTGATAACACACTTTACTCTTGCCCTGTGCTAGTTCCCTGCTGCGGTGGTGGGGAAAGGAAGGTATTCAATCTCCATCTCAACTCATTAATTTTAAAAAGTTGGCCAGCGTTGGCAAAGTGTTAAGCGTATAAAAATTAATGTTGACAAATCTTTGAGGAGTAGAACGAAACAAAAGAAATCAATTAAGAGAACAGCCCACAGTGGTATTTTAGAATCTAAATTGCGCTCAGCCTTGCGCTGGAAGTTACCAGCAAAGCCCCGTGCCAAGTGGAAATCTCAGGAAGGTCTCAAATTGGGAATTGGTATTTGTTTAAACTACGTGAAGTGGTGATGGGACTCCTCCAGGTCTGTGGGCCCCTCCAGCCTGGGGGGAAAGCTGGGGGCAGTGGGGCCCTATTGGGTGCTGCAGCGATGGCAGAAGCCTCGCTGTGTGTTGCTGGGAGTCTTGCACGAGGGTTCGGTGATGCGCAGCAGGTTGGTCTGTCTGCCCCCCGCTCCGTCATGTGTGTGGTTTCACTCTTTGCCCTGCATCCCAATGCTGGCTCCAGTGCCTCGTGTGTCAGCATCCTGCTGGTGGTGCAGGAGGGCTGGGGTCTGTGTTGGGCACGGTGGGGCCGGCTCATGGCAATCACTGCCTCCGTGCTCCCTGCCGTGGGGCAGCTCTGCACGCAGGCTGATGGGAGATGTGAGCACCAGCCCCACGTGGCCGTGCCCCAGCGCCCCGACAGCCGCCTTCACCCGAGGGACAGCGCTCCCCGGCCATCAGTGAGTCACTTCTGCTTAGGACAGCGGTATAAATTAATTCGGATGTCTGTGTGATCTTATCAGTGTTATCTCAGGCTTTGTATTTTAAGGCTTCCGTGGCCTTCAGAGTAAATAAGTGTTTTCTCAGGCTGACACACAGACCTGGAGGAGAAGGGCAAGTTGTCGTGGCCGGCGCTGGCGCAGCAGTAGAAATCCCGCAGGGATTTCCATCCGTCCTTTCGCTGGGCTGATGTTTGATTGCATCCCACAGCAGCAAGCTGGAGGTGAGCCCAAGGTCCCTCCCCAGACCCACAGCCCCCCTGGGCACCATTCCTGGCAGGTGGAGCAGAGGGTGCTCAGAGCCACGTGTGCCCTTATGTGAGCACCTGAATCCCTGGGGTCTTCTCCTCTGCTTCGGAGTAAAATAATTCAGTGAAGCAGGTTCCGTTTTTTCCCCCGTGTACTTTCTTGCTGTAGCAATTTGGAAAGACCCACAAGAATTTCAGAGGACTGAGGAAGAAAGATCTCTATTACTGGGGAAGGGTAAAAGAGAGATCCATCAACGGATATCTCGAGCATTCACTTAATTTTATTACTTTAAGCGACTTTATTACCTTCATCTTGCTTTCTGTTGCATTCCAACACTTATTTAATAAACCCCTCTCTGGTTTTAAATAGCAGTTTAGTTTTTATGGTAATGTTAAACTTAATCAGATGCTCAAATTAGCTTGAAATTAATTATATTGACTGCAATAAACCTTAGCTCCCTCTTCACATCCTGCACACAGTTCTCCTTCAAGGCTGCTCTAAATGCCATTGAGATACCAAATGGGTTTCAGCCCAGTTCCTGCTGACGAGGGCAGTGCCCGCATTGTCCCCACGCTCAGATGGAGCGGGAACCAATAGAGCCTCTGCCTGGAAATCTGCAACGAGCGTAGAATCGTTAAGGTTGGAAAAGACCATGAAGCTCATCTGGTCCCATCACGCTGTGCTCACAAATCCAATGGGCTGCATCACTCTGGGGGTCGGTGCTTCTTAAAGCAAGGCAGTGTGGGCTTCCTGTGGCATCCCTGGTGGGCTGCGGGCTGCTGGGGGGCTGCAGGGCTCTGCTGGGTGCTGGCCCCATAACTCCTGCCAGTGGTGATGATGGTTTTAACGTGTGACCTCAGTGCCACTGGGCATGCCATGACCTTGGGCCAGAGCGAGGTGAGGAAAGAGGGATCACCCCTGGGATGTGAGCTGAGGGGGCTGGGGGCCGTCCTTTGCTGTGCAACCTCCAAATGGCTCAGTGCAGAGCGTGGAGAAAAACCTTTGGGAAAGCTTGGCTGCTGAGGCCCTGCTGTAGCCCTGAGCTGGCTCGCGCTGGTTTCTCCATGCTGATGGCAGTGTTGCGAGCAGGGTGAGCTGCAGAGCTCTCCGTTGCCTTGGCTGAGGGTAAAAACCCTCACCTGGGGTAAAAACCCACTTTACATTGCCAGAACCCACCGACTCTTGTGTCCTGCTCCTGGTGCTGCACGGCAGGGTCATGGCACTGGTGACCCCAGCCGGTGGCACCCGCAGCCTTTCCTGGTGACCCTGCATGTGGGAAGGGCTGTAGCAAGGCCTTGACGGTGGGAAGATGCCTTGAATTGCTCTCCAGGGCTTCTCCCTTGCTGCCAGCAGCAAGCACTGCTCTTCACTCTGCTGCCTGCGCAGCCGTAGCCAGGCCCTACAGCAGCGCCTGCGATTGATAATTGCTCAGTGTTGGTGGAAAGCCATTTATTATTGATGCCAGTTTAGAGGGCTGATGAGCTTAGCATGCCTCGTTGCTCCAAAAGGAGCACTTCCCTGCGTTAACCCCTGCTGCGCCAGCCTCCCGGGAGCTCCGTGCTGACCTTCCGCCTGGCCTCGGAGACACGGGGTGTTAAATGCATTAATGAGAGCTATGCAGTGATGCTGCCAGCGCACGGCCTGCCCGGCTGCTCGCCCCGAAGTCTGCTGTGATTTTGCATTTAAATAGCCGGAGGAGTTTGTAATATTAAGGCATGGTTCATTGCCAGCGAAATTCGGGCTAGGTATACGCTTCACTGGGAGTGCAGACAGCCTGATTCATTGAGGATTCCTGCTAAATCTGCTGTGGGTTCCCAGGGACCTGGAAAATGCATTATGGTAAAAATCAACATGACCTTCTGAAAGCACCGCACGGAGAGTATATCTGTATTACGGCACTGGAGCGGCGCTTGGCTCGGCAGAAGCCTTTCCCATTGTTTGCATTCTGGCTGGATGATAGAAAAGTAATCAAATTAGTATTAAAAAAACACAAATCGAGCAATATCCGCAGACTGTGTTTAAGTTACACGAGATACATTATGGTGTGCACACACGCACGCCCCTGTGCAATTGTCATGTTAAAGCTTGTTTTGCTTTTGATTGGCTCCCAGGCAGAATAACATGGGGGCTGCGATGTAAGTTGCTTTTCCTTTTGGAATGAATAACTCTTGTGGTAAAGCTGACACGAAGCATAAATTTGTTAAATTACATAAACATTATTGCGACCCATAAAATTCAATGAATCCTCGTCGCCTGTTTACTCATGGCTGGCTTTACTGTTTGCACAATGTAATTTAACGTGTCAATTTGCTCTCAAATAAAAAACATCTGGCCTTTTGACATGCCAAAAAAGCTGCAGAGACGATCTGAGAATGGAGCTAAAAGCCCAGGCTTTGCATAGCAGTCAGCGAAGGGCTCTGAAGAGGAAGCCAATATCATTCAGATCAATTGATGGCCTCTTGGCAAACCTACTTCTGTAAACCCTGTAAGATTAGTAAATTTTATCCTAATTAAAATTAAGAAAAGCCACGGAAGGCTGGCGCGCGCTTCGCCCTTGCGTCCCCTGCCAGTATTGACATCCATTCTATCGGATTTTTAAACAATCTTATTATTTTGCAATCACGAGTAACAAGAGGAAAATTACGCTTTTATAAGGGATTTTTATTCTGGATGAGCTGCGGAGGCCCGGTGCATTAATTCACCTCCCTAAGCCCCTTAGCTCGCCGTTCTCCTCCAAAACCTCCGATCTGGTGGCGGGGAGCGTCTGGCGGCCGCGCGGCCGCGCTGAGAAGAGCCGTAAATCTGGGCTTAATCCCTAATGAGCAGTAATGCCTCTCGCTCCCCGCCGCGACGCAGCGCAGGAGATGCTGACCTAAATAACACGGGTGTGGGAGCCACATGTGGCACCGATCCGAGCTCGCTCTCCGTGCTCTGCGCTCCCATCTGATGGGCTGTTAGCGCTGATTGATTGAGACGTTTATGATTTGCATAGGAGACAGTTCGTGTAATTACGGATTACTGAATAAAGCCAATTGGTCGCAAAGATTAGCGAGGCCAGGTCCCGCCGGAGCCCCCGGAGAACCTCGCGTCGTTTCTTATTGCTCTTCTCATCTTTGCCGTTGAAAAAACAAAGCGTGGCCCGTTGGCTCGCGGTCTCACGGTGGGCAGAGCCGTGGATGGGAAGCGCCGTTCCTGCCCCAGCATCGCCGCGGTCCGGCGCATGGATGGGAGCGAGGAGCGGGGCTGGGCCCACGGCCAGCTCACGGGGCGGCTGTAAACCCTCTGGAAAAATCAGAGCAGATTCTCACCGTGAAATCAGGGGGTTACAGTGAGTTCAGGCATTGTTTTAATTAAGGGAGAGACATCTCTTCCTTGAGGGAAGGCTGAAATCACGTTAAGGCCGATAGGAAAGATTTCCCATATTGTCAGCAATGGTTAGACACGTTTGTGGGTAAATAAACTGTGATTTCTTTTCACCCGCTAGGAGAACACACAATATTTTCTTTTAAAGTATATGGGGCTGGCGGTGGTTTTGCTCTAATCAAGTTCTTGGCATTTCATCCAGGCTTATAATGGGACTCAAGTAGTTGCACATTTTCTGTAATTGGACTCGAGTAATTGCACATTTCTCTAAATGATTAATGAACAGAAATAGAAAGTTTGAAAAAAGTTGCCTGCGACGCTGCAGGAGCCGTAACGTCAGCAGTGCTGGGGGTGGGACTGCTGTGCAAACGGTTACAGACTGATGGCCAGGGGCTGTGCAGGGGGGGAGGACCCTCACCGTGCACGGGGTGCAGTCAGGGGAGAGCAGGATACGGCACAGAGCTTTGTAGGGCTCAGCGGGTGGAGGAATGATGGAGCTGACGTGCCAGAGGTGATCCTGCCAAGCGGTGCTCTATCATTTCATTTCTCACCACAGATCAAAAGAAAGAAAGAAATTCCAGTGCATGGATTTCTGTCTTTTTTTTTTTTTCTCCTGCAGAGCAGCTATTGCACGATGACTTCTGCTTTGTTTGTGTCCTGCAGCTACCGAGTGGGTGACTCCTCTCACTCCACGCTTACTCTCATTATAGAGCAGAATTTGATATGAGCGTCAGCAACACGTGGTGCGAATCACCCGCTTTGGAAAGGGGGAAAAAACAAGGGTGGTGGGAACCCATATGTAAAACCTGACTGCAGACACGACAAGGGGAAGGCGGATTCTGTGTATTGCAGTGCTGGATCTGGAAGTACTTATGCCTCCGATGACGTTTGCTGCGCTGCATGGAAAGACCTGCAGCTCCCCGGGATCTGCAGCATGTGGCCAGATGTGGAGCGAGGTGGTGCATGGAAGTTTTTGAGGGAACAAGTGCACATCTGCTTAAAGCTTGGGTTCTGCACCCTAAACTTGGGTTCTTCACCCAGTGTTTGGGCCCTTCACCCAACACTTTGTGTCGTGCACCTGACGCCCCCCACGACTTCAACTGAGCCCCTCCTGAAGCTGTTATGTGCTGATGTTGGTAAAAAACGCATGTCCCAGGGACAGATTTCTGCTTTGCCCCTCTGGGTGAGCCCCCTCACCGTGTGATTCACCAACAGCCCATGTGCCCACTGTCTGCAGCTCTGTCTCATCACTGACGCTGTGTGTGCACGGTTGTGTGATGCTACTTGGCTTTCCAGGGGCTGGCACTGGCTGGAAACAGGTTGTTTGGCTGTAATTTTTGGCTGTATGTTTTGGCCAATGGCCTTTTTTTTTTTTTTTTTTTTTTCTTCCTGTCAGGGTGGGATTTGCTGCAAGGGAAAGGGGGTGATGCTTTTTTTTACAGATGTGCCAAGAATTACACTCCATCAACCAAGCTTCCCACTGCCAGGACTCAGGAATCAATGAAAAAAAAAAAAAAAGAAAGAAATAAAAGGGAGATGAAAGATGGTGGTTTAGATTAGGAGAGAAATATTTTGGGGGAAAAAATGTACTGCAGGCTTTGCTTGGCTCCCACCATGCCCGGGGGCTCCCGACCCCAACCATGGTCTGGGATATGTGCAGCACAGCGTGGATGCGTCCATCCTGGCACGAGCTGGCCATGCTGAGCAGCAGCCAAGCAACAGCAAAATAGGATTTATAATACCCTCAGCTTTACTCCCCAATTTTGGCTTTGAAGATGAATGTTTGCTGTGCTGTTATTCATTTATACATTATTTTTCCTATCTCCAGAGAGGCCCGTGCTTCCCCCCCCCCCCCCTTCCCCACACACACACAAAGCATTTATTTCTGTTTCTAAAAATCCCATCAGCTCTTCCTTCAAAGTTCCTACACGCAATCAGCCCTCTGCATTCCCATGCAAACACTTCCCGATGCAGATGCAATCCTTGTGGTGTGAGTTCACAGCAGGTGAGAAATTCCTCTGGAGCCCATAAAGGCACAGAGCTTCCCCAAAGTTCTGCATGCTGGGTAGATGGGACGGGTGGGACTAAATGGGACATGGGAGGGGACATGGGAGGAGATGTGGGGCATGGGGAGGAGATGTGGGGCACAGGAACAGCCACACCATGCCTTGCAATATGCCCTAGGAGGTGGAGCAATAACATGTGCAATGGGCTGTTGCAAAAGGAACGATGAATGCAAACGAATTGGAGAGGGTTTTATTATTAAAGGGAAGATTGATGGTTCAGCTATCTGGTGTGGGAAAAGCCAGTGTCCTGATTAAATGTAATTATCTGCAGCACTAATAAAAGCTTGCCGATTTCCCCGGGTCGTGCTGCCCTCTGCTTTAGCTGCACACACAAACATTAATAAGCAGCAGCTGTGAGAGCTGGGAGAGGAGTTCAGGAGATGCTCATCACACCAGGCACTTGCTAATTGCTGGTCAAGGACGAACACGTCGCTTATCACAGCTGCTGTTAAGCTGGCCTTGCAGGGTGAGGTGTTTTGCTCTGCTCCAGGCTGCAGTGTGGAGATGGAGCAGTTTGTCTCTGCATGAGTGCCTGGAAAGAGAGGAAATGTGGCTCAGCTGTGGCTGCCTCCAAGAAAAAATGCACCTGTCTGGAGGAGGGAACTGAGGGTCTGTCTTTGTGTGCACAGAGAGGTCAGCGTGGTGCCCTGTGCTCCTGCAGCTACAGGCAGCGATTGGTGCTCTCCTCACCCCAGGAAATGGCACGGGATGCAATTGGGCAAGATAATGATGGGACGATGGTTTGGTGAGGTAATGATGGGATGGCGGTGGGATGGTGATCTGGTGGACTAATGGTGCTGATGACCTCAGAGCAACAAGAACAAAGGCTGGGCCAAGGCGAGGAGGAATTATCTGAAATGAGATGCCTGGGAGTGCTTTGATCTGCCATTGTTTTAATTACTGCCTCTAATAAGAATTTGAGATTCTGGATAAAGGATACTTGGATCAACCATGTAATGAGCTTTCCCTTTAGCGGAGGTGTGAGTGAACCTGTGGGTCGTTCTCTCAAACTGCCCAGTTGTGTCAGCAAGGGCTGGGCTGTGCTGGGAAAGGAGCAGGGAGCAAGCAGAGGCACAGCTCTGTGCTCACTGCTGGGAGCACAAGAATGCTGCTCCAGCCTTCCTCAAAGCAACACCAAGCACTGCAGGCTCCATCACCTTTAGGGGATGCTTCCAGCCTGCTCTCCTCCATCTTCCTGGAGAATTCGAGGGACCTCTGAGATCTGGGGCACAAAATCCCAGGAAAAGACACCTCAACTTGCCTCCATTCCTCCTTCTTGGGACTGGATTTCTGTGCTAGTGCTGGTGGATGCATGTCCTCCTGTCTTTGGATGCGGTGAGGTTGACGCACAGCACCGTGCTGCTGTGCCAGAGCCATGCTGTGGGTCCTGCAGGCAGGCTGTGTCCCAGGGATGTCACGGGGGCTTCAGTTGCAGTACATTTTTCAATTCTGCCTGACCAGGGGATAAATAGAGGGAATTTTCCCCTGGATGCATCTGTAAACGATTTCCAGTTGGGAAGCTATCATTTTTCTAATGGCCATGTTTGCTGTAAATTCATGGGCAGAGCCTCAGAGCCCTGGGGCTCAGTCCAGCTCCCATCAAAGCGAGTGGAAATGGATTTCTGCTTCCCGCAGTCCTCACCAGAGCTGGATTGGACCATCATGTTGCTGTTCCAAAGCACGGGGTGAGCTCAGGGTGGTCCCTAAATAATGGCCATTAACAGTAGGGACTGGCAGACGCTGCCCTGGGTCCATGCTGTTGCCAGAGCCATTAACTCAGGCTGCTTTTCCAGCACTGTTCTTCAGACAGTATTGCACCTTGGGGTGAGTGAGAAGCAGGCCTGGAGGCGATGCTCAGGGCTTGCACTGCAGTCTGACGTCTCTCCCACAGGACAAGAGAAACCCTTTGGGCATCACATCTGGCACCCAGCATCAACCTGATTTTGTAGCGCAGTAAGATGCACCTCATTCACTTTTTGGTCTCTTGCTGGTGGCTGGGGATGGCAGGAGCCCACCTGGGCACAGAGGGAATAGAACCCAAGCACTGTGGCCATGGGCTTGTTCCACCCTCTGTGATGGTGTGGGGTTGTGGGGTTGTGGGTGAGCTGTTGGGGCTGGGGAGAAGCACAGCTCTGAGGGGCAGCTCTGGCTGCTGGCAGGGATGCAGCTGAGCTCACAGCTCTAACAATCCCAGCCCTTCTGCCTCTCTCACCTCCTGCCCATCGGGGAGGAAAGCTGATTTTTTTTTTTTTTATACTTTTTTTTGCAATTTCATTTACTAGAGGCTGAAAGATTGCTGTACAGGACCGGCTCCTGTGTCCTCCAGCTAGTTAGAGTGCAATGCTGCTTAAATTGTCTTTTTGATAACTGTTCTGGCTGTGAGAACAGAGGTTTCTGTGGGGAATTCACACAGCGCTGCCTCCAAATTCCCCGATCCTTCATATTGCAATATTACTCTTTACCTAGCAGAAGATATTCCTAATCGGCTTCACAAAAAGCAATAAAGCCCTTCAACACTTCGTTGGCTTTGACATTTAAGGCACGCAGCAGGTGGAGAAAGGTGCTTGGTGGCCTCGTGGTGCTGCTGTGCAAGCAGGGACATGACCAGGCTCCTTGCTACCAAGCAGCCAGTGGGAAAGTTCAATTGCAATGCTTTGTTGCATCTGTTATCCGTTTGGTCTATCTGGTTTGCAGCATTCAGGTCTACCTACGTGCTATCAGAGAGTTCATGGTGTAACAAAGCACAGTTTGGATGGGGTTTGGGGCAACCAGGTGTGGTGGGAGGTGTTCTTGTGCACAACAGGGGGCTGGAATTGGGTGAGCTTTAAGGTCCCTTCCAACACAAACCATTCTGTTTCTATGATTCTATGACCTATCTCACGAGATATCACCTGATCTTATAGGGATCAATCAATCTTAAAGAGCATCAACACATCTTGCGGGGCATCGATCAGTCTTATGGGGCATTGATCCACCTTATTGGGCATCAGTGCATCTTACAGGGCATCAGCCCTTCCTATGAGGCACTGATCAGCCTCATAGAGCATCAATCCAACCCTCTTTAGCAGGAGGTTGGGCTAGATGATCTCCAGAGAGATCTCCCTTCTAACCCCTATGTGATTCTGTGACTTTCTGATCCATCTTGTGGAGAATTGACCCACGTTTGGGGTACTGACCCACCTTATAGAGCACCCCCCAGGGCTGACTGCGGCTCTCCCATCACGTCCAGGACTGCAGGCAGCCTAGCTCCATGCTGGTTAGGTGCAGAGCACGTGGGGCTGCGCTGGTTGTTGGCCAACAAGCAGCATCGAGCCCTTGTGCCTCCCTATGGCCACAGGTCCTCTGGTTCCTCCTCTGGCCTGTGATCCTGGATGGCTTTTTCCCACCTCGGCAGCTTTCTGCTGCAGCTCCTGTGCCCCAGCTGCAGTGGCTTAGTTTTATGAGCCTGCAACTGCAGCCACTAACTGCTGCCTACAAGCCCTGGGAGGATTTCAGCTGGAGTAGGAGTAGCGTGCAGAGCATCCTGGCGCGATGCCGCTTCTCCTATAAAGCGTCATGTTTCCAAATGGGTAATTACTGCACTGGGATTTATGCAGTACTTCCTTTAAGTGGTTGTGTGGGCTGCCATTCCTCGATGAATTAAAAAGAAAGCAGAAAAAAAAAAGGAGCTGAATCCAGTGGTGCTGTGAGTTCAGGGCAGAAATGAGATCAGCTTGCTCTGCCCTTACCTGGCAATAATAGGAAAGTGCTCTTTCAATTGAGCTGTTCCATTCTTTTGCCCTGAGCTATAAGAAGTAGATTGGATGAAAATTATCAGGCTCCCTGTCTAGAATAAATATTCTTGAAATGGAGCAAGTCATAAATAAGCGAGCAGCAATATCCTGGGTTATGAAGATATAATTTCTATCTTTAATAGCTGAGTAGGCCCCGGGGACTGTCTGGAAGTGGCCTGCCTGGCCCCAGTATTGATGAGGGGAAAAACACAAATAAGCAAAAAAGCTTTTGTTTCCTTAACCCTGAAATTATTGATACTTTGAGGCAAATCATGAGGCGCTGTGGCCGAACCCTGCAGGTCCCTCTGCTGCAGAGCGGCCGCAGATGGCAGCAGCATCAGATGGGATCTGGCTCTGGGTTCACCCCGTAGCACTGCTCAGGTTCCCTCTGGCTCCCGTTTCACCTCACAGCACTGCTTTGCTGAGGGCAGAAGCAGAGGATATGGCAGCGGTGGCGGCGTGCATGGGGAGGGACAGGACCTGCCCCATTTTGGGTTGCCCTGTTGTCCCAGCAGGGATAATGGCACAAAAGGAGTGCCTTGATTTACCCAACTGCCAGCCCTTACCCAACTAAGCCCGGCCCTTAGAAGTTGCAAGGTGGGACAATAATTAATAAGAGTTGCCTGGATGAAGCTCCAAATTTGATGGGATTAGTCTTAATGGTTTTATTTTTAAAAGCCATTTAATTACTAATCAGCTCTCCCTTACCAGCTAATGTGTGCTGGTGCTGTTAAAGCAGTCTGCGAGGGGGCTTTGCTGGCGGCAGCTGGGTGGCTCACAGAGCTCCTTACTGACATCCTCCCCTGAGCCGTGGCTGAGCCGTCTGCACGCAGCTCCGTGCAGCAGCTGCCCCCAGATGCGCCCCCAAACACAGCAGCTGCACAGCACCACGTGTCAGCGTGCCCACTTTTGCTTCTGGAGCAGAACCAGAGAGGGGTGCAGTGTCCCCATGATGCTTGCAGCTTGCACTGCCCGGATCGGGTGCTCACCCAGCCCCCAGCCCATTAATTTCTAACACAACGGAAGACGTTCCTTAATCTTTTAATTATATGGAGTGACGTGGCTGAAATAACTCCTTTCATTTCTGGGCCACTGACATGATTAAGAACTGAGGTCTACTGTTAGGGGGGAAAAAAAACACGGTGTAAATTGCCCATAATGTGAGATCTGTATCACCTTCCCCTGAAAACCCCAAGCGACGGAGCACCGCGAATCCATCACACGAGGCTGGTTAGGGGAAGATTGCACCATTATTAAATTATATGTTTTTTAAAAACGACACGCTGATCTGTTTCGTACCAGTAAATATGTGATTTACATTTAATTCTGAGTAACCTTTCCATGATCAGTGAGGTGTGAAGGAATTTAATGACACAAAGCTACATTTATGAAGAGACCATTCATATTCATTAGGCTCACGCATTAACAATCCTGCCAGTGACATCTCTCTAGCGTGTGCTTTATTACTGCAGTTCACAGCGGCTCAGGGCAGGGTGAGCTGCAGCTGCACATCAGTGCACAGGTACCCGTGGGCAGCAGCATCCAAAAGGGAACATGGGCCTGGAAATCATGCCCAGGTTGGGCAGGGAGTGTCCTTCTGGTTCAGAGAAAGGATTGGGATGGAAAAGAGGAGGAAACTCTGGGGTCATCATCTCCAGAGGTGTTCCAGAACTGAGGGGATGTGGCACTGAGAGGCAAGCTGGGATGGATGGGTTGCGATTGGGTTTGGGGATCTGAGAGGTATTCTGCAACCTTAATGACTCCACTCTACTGCATTCTATCCTACCCCAACCTGTCCTATTCTATCCCACCCCATCTATGATTCTATGGTTCATCGTTTTCTTTGAAGCAACCCGAAAATGAAGAACAAAGGAAAACCCCAGAGTGGCACCACTGCCTGAGAGAGCACAACTCCAGGTTTGGACGTGGACAGTCCTCCTGATTCGAGCTTGGCATCCCAGATAATGGGCCATGGATGGAAAAAAAAAGCAAAAAAGAACATGGGGGCATACAGTTCTGCTTCCCTTAAGTGACGATGGGGACCTGCTGGGGTCCCGTGGCTGGATACAAGCTCATCTTCACAAGAAGATGTGCCATTCCCTGAGGAAATTAAAACGTGGCTGGTATTGGAATACTTCCTGCGAGCCCCTGCCTGATGGGGAAGCAAATGAACCGCAACTGTCTGCATTGAAAAATAATTGGGCATATTAGGTTGCCATTAGCAATCAGAGCAGAGGCGGGCTGCAGGCAGTGCCTTTTTCTGCCCAGGGACATGGCCTGGGGGGTGACCCATGCAGAGAGGGAAAGTGGGGACATCTCTGTGGCATTTGGGATGGTTTGTGCCATGGGAGAGGCTGCTGCTGGTGTTCCCACGTGGCCTGTGTGCATTAAGCATTTTGCATTTTGCAACATGTTACACAGCCACCACTGCAACTGTGTGCAGTGCTTGGATTGCAGAAAGGGAACCATCCTGCAACACTCGTGAGGTTCTGTTCATTTGTCTGGCTTTCCATCTTTGACCCAAAGGCTGTGGGAGTCCCACAGCTCTGCAGGGTGGAAGTGCTGGGCTGTTGAGTTCTCCTGAGTGTTGCACCAGTGATGCACAGAGGAGGGCACAAAGCAATGAGCTCCTGCAGCCCTGCTGCGTGGGGAGGGGGCCCAGTGCAGAGCCGCTTTCCTGGGGAGGATGCTGCCTAAAGCAGATGACATTGCAACGTGCCCACTTTCAGAGCAGGCAGAAGTAGCTTTACGGGCTGCCTGCAAATGAAACATTAATTAATTTACCAGCAGGAAGGATATAAATAACTAAATCAGATGGTGCGACTTATTCATGAGGTCCTGATGGAAGGCAATTGTTATTCCTGGCTGTGCAGGTTAATGAACACGGGCTCCCTTTCCCAGCACTGTGCTCTGCCAGGCATGGTGGCACGCTGCTGTCCCACCTGGCCTTGGGGGTTGAGCATGCCCTCCCTGTGTGCTCCATATGGGGATGGGATGGCCTCACACAGCCCCGGGCTGGGACGTAGGGATTAACTGCAGCTTTTTGAGGCTTTAGTTCTGTGGCATCCTTAATTTGTTGGGAAGCGCTGAGTACATTGCTCTGCTGAGACTGTCGCAGCGTAAATTGGGCTTTGTGAACGCACATTTGTCTTCCTGCTCATTACAGCAGCAATGGATGCTGGGCCAGGAGCACCCCCAGAGCACCCACTTCTGACCCCGCCGTGCTGGGATGGGCACTGCTGCGGTGCTGCGATGCTCACAGCCCTCAGGCTGCTTCATGGGGCTGTGGGTCAGCACTGCCTCTGCTATGGGATGCCCGGGGCACCTCCTGCCAATGCAAAGAGAGACACCCCCACGCCATGCAGAGCCCTGCAGCTCCTGCTTTCCACAGGCAGCTCTTGCCTCTCTTCCCCACGAGCAGAGATTTGCCACAATGTGCCGCCTTTTCATTTGCCAACGCTTAAAGGGATTGCAAAGATTAGGAGATTTCCATTTAGCAGCAGGCAGGCAGTATGTCAGACAGCCTCCTGCTCCAGAATAGCAGGCGCTAATCAATAACACCGCGCCACAGCCCACAAAAACTGCCCTGAAGTGAAAACCATACTTTTTTTTTTTTACAAAGGGGAAACTAAAAACAAATATAAACAAATAAGAGCGAGCTCACCCCAACCATCTCTGCTTTCAGTTTCTGGGAGTGCGTGCACTCGGTTAATGAGAGCGGGGAAAGGGCAGGAGAAAACCTGCTTAATTTGAAGCAGATGCTGAGCCCGTCCTCCCGGCGTGCCTCCCAGCTCGCTTTGCCCTCCAGCTGCAGCTGGGTGAGCAGCATCACGCAGCACTGCGTACGGATGCACATTTGGCCAAGCAGTGCTATGGGCCCGAGCCCATGCACAGCTCTGGCCCCACGCACACGTGCAGCCCGGCGTTGACCCACACAGCGCCGCTGGGTCCCGATGGTCGGCAGTGAGATATCATTGTCATTCAGCGTGGTGCGGCTTTTTTTCCCCCCTCTCTTTTCACTTTGATTGGAATGCAGCCTCCTGGGAGACATGAACTCATCGCAAATGGCTTCCCAGGGATAGGAACAAATGAAATGTAACAAATCTCCATTTGCAATTTTGGGGGCACGTGACTGGAATGGGAAACGGGGCGGCGGAGCTGAGCTTCCCCGGTGCATTACGGAGCAGCTAGTGGCTGCTGCCTGCTAAAATAAACCCTTTATCACCTTCATCCTTCATTTCCAGCACAGCTAAATAACACGGCCAAGCAGCGCAGCACGGCCCATTCAGCCCGGAACTTCTGCTTTCCCAACCAGCACAGAAGGAGAAATGCTTTATTTCAGCTCTCTGCTGAGCTCTGTCCCCCCATGCTCACAGCGGGGCTCTCCTGCCCCATGCAGCCCCCTATGACCCACATTGCTCCCAGCCCTGAGCAGAGCACAGCCCTTTTCCTGCCCATTGCAGAACCACCTCCCTCCCTCTGCCTGCTGCCAACAGTGCTCACTGGGTGACTTTTTCCCCAGGCAAAGCGACTCTCGCAGGTGCCATAAAGTGCTTAAGCAACATTTATCCCCAGCGCTCAGCATCTCCACGGTCCCCTGGTGTAAGGATGCTTTACCCATGCTGGGATGAAGCGATAGCAAGCAGAGGGTGTGCACCAGCCCAGCACCTGCTGCTCTGCAGGGATGCTCTGTGCCTCCCCAGAGCTGTCACCACACTGCTTGTTAGCCCTGAGCACACCGAGCCCAGCACTCGGGTGCCACGTATTCCCTGGTTTGGCTCAGGGGCAGCTTTGGTTTCCTCCGTGAAGGTCCTGGCACTGCAGGTGTTGCACAGCTCCACGACCGCAGCTTTGAGTTATTTTTGGTTCTTTGTGATTAACAAGAAACGTTTGGGCTTTGGGATCTGGGGTTCTTTTTTGGCTTCTTTTCTACATCTATCTGAGTGCCTTTGGCAACTGAACACAAACGCTGAGGCTGACGAAGAACAGATGCAGTCTTACAAAATACATTAACCAGTCCTTGGGGTCAAGGAGACGTGAAAGCAAATGCAAAAATCCCTGGGTTTGCATGGTAGGTTTGGGAAAGCCCCGTCTTGCCTCAGCCCCTGGGTCACCCATAGCCATGCCCCCAATCTGCCCGGCCCAGAGCCCCAGGCAGCGTCAGCTTTTTGTGTGTGTTTTTTCCTTTTTCTTTTTTTTCCTTTTCTTTTTCTTTTTTTTTTTTTTTTTTGTTATTTATTTTTTTTCCAGGAAGAGAGTTAATTTTAACTGAACAAACAAAGAAGGAAGCCACTGCTAATTAGACACAGATGAATCTCGGCTGGCTCCCTGGGTGTTCCGGGAGCTGTTTTTCCAGAGCTAATAATCCAGCCTACAACAATGAATGAAGCAGATATTGTTTGTTGTCGCTAATAGATGCTGATGATAACTCTATCCGCAGCGCTGAGGCTTGCACCAGGTAGTGCAGGTCGCACAGTGAGCTGGTGGCAGGGGAAGGGCAGGGCTGGGTGCCCTGCAGGTGCTGCCCGCTGCCCGTTGTGCTCCTTTGAGCCAATTTGCTTTCCCTGAGAGCAGTGGCCACGCCAGCACATTGCTTCAGTTTTGGGTTTGGATGCAGGAATGGTGCATCCTTAACTCTGGGAGGGTGACTTGCACCCCACAGCAGAGCGGGGCAGAGTGGGTGTGAGTGCATGGAGGAGCCATGGCTGCTGATGGACTCGGGACCTGCATCCCCCCACCTGCTGGCTCCTGCCCCAGGACCCCACTCCTTGCATCCTGTAGTACTTCATGGTTACGTGATGGAGAAACGGCCCCTCTAATGAGCTGTGTGCTTCTGATGAGCTGCTTGCCCTTCCCATGCTGTAGACCGAGGCACACTGCCACGTGTGCTGTGCAGCAGGAACTCAGCTGAAAAAAACCCTCGAAGACTTCACGGTGTGGAACACGAGGGGATGGCACAGAGCACTGCCTGCCTGCGCCTCCCAGCCACCTCTGCTGTGCCTTTGGGCTCCAGGAGTGTTTCCCTGGGGAACTTCAGCAGCAAAACCCCAAGCCGCTTGTTTCGAGATTCTCTTCTCTTGACAACGCCTGCTCTGATTTGTTAAAGAAATAATAGTAAAAGCGGAAGGTGGCCTGGGGGCACTTTGTTCCAAGCCGGCTTCCTTATCATTTACCGCCTGCCTTGCAGCTGGTGGCCGTGCCTGACCCCGCAGCGTGGCAGTGCACGGCTGTGGGACGCAGCGCCGCAGGGAGCTGAGCCGTGGGCACAGCGCACAGCGGCCGTGGGCTCCGTTCACACGCAGGGCAAAGCGGGCGACGCCGGCTGCGTGAAACCAGAGCTGCTATGCAAATGGGATGGAAAAACTGACTGCACACAGGGCCCGGTGCGGCTTCGCCTTCTTGTATCGAGGCAGTTTCTAACCAAGTGTTTTCTCTCTCTGTCTCTTTTTCCCCCTAAGTGTCAGAGAAGCCATTTCATGAGGTCTCTGCAGAGCCGGTTCCTAATCAGCCTTTAATTTGCCGTCTTGCATGGAGGGAAGGGCTATGAATCAGCAACAAGATTCAAAAGCAGACTCGTTTTCCTAGCTACAAAGCGGAGAGAAGTGCAGAATGCTTGGATCGCAGTGCCAGGCCCTGTGGTCACCTCACGATGATTTGAGTCGTTGGAACCATGGAGAGGCAGAGCACAGTGCTGCTGAATCACAGCTAAGGCAGGAGATATCGAACGCAGCCTGAAATCCGTCCTAGTCGGGAAGATCTTCAGGCGTGTAATTACCTCTGAGCACATGCTCAGATGCCTTCTGAGCGGCGATGCTCAGCTGAATGAGGGCTGTAATTATGGGCAGCTACCGTACACATGTTTACTACCCACGAGGCGTGCCTGCCCTGGCGTGGGCACTCAGTGCTGCCTGGTCTGGCATGGGAGCATCCAAAAATGTCCTCTCAGAAAGAGCGGTGATGAACCAGCATGGGCTGCCCAGGGAGGGGGGTCACCATCTCTGGAGGTGCTCATGGAATGTGGAGATGTG